TTAACATGTTTCCAGACAAGTCATTTAGTTTATACATATGCAACAGCACTAGCATTTTTGTGGGTTTAATTTTTTGAAATAATTTTATCCCAAAGTCCCATTCAATGCATATTCACCACATTTGGTAGACTTTTCAGAAATATTTAGTATTGAATTCCATGTAAAATAAAATACATGTAAAAGTAGAAAATACATTTCAAAGTGCTCATAAATTTTTTTTTTAATTAAAAATAGACTATTTAATGAAATTTGAACTTTCAAGAGGCAGCAAAATGTTGGAAAGGAAGTAAATATGAGATCTGTTCTTCTGTCATTACATGTTACCATTCTTACTTGCTAATCATAAAGAGTGGAGTGGTTTCCCATTGCCATCATGAGATGGAAGGTAGTCTTCTGTTAATACGTTCTTGTAAAATTGCTGTATAAGTTTGTGCAGTCACATCCCTTTTTTGTGATTTGGTTTCCCCCATTTATACATTTGGTGTGGTGCTTCCTTTTCCCATCTGAGTTCTGAGAACTTAGCAATACCTGTAAAAACCTATAACATCCTCGGCTGGAAAAGTGCTATGTAATGCTAGCAAAGTACTGTATATTTAAACACCAACAGTACGAGTTGTGCTGGAGGTGAAGGCAAAGAGGAAAATTAGGGTTTGGGCATTTAAGGAGCTTGCAGCTTAATCAGATGTAGAACACAGTATATACTGAAATGCTCATGCCACAGTTTATGACCACTGTTGTCATTGAGAAGAACTGTCCTGCCTGTCACCAGCAATCTTTTCTCATCCCTTAAATGCCTCCTATGTTGTTCCAGCACAGATATAGCTGAGGCCACATTTTGATCTGCATAAGGGAACTGGCATAGCTAGAAATTGCTTCTCTTAGCCAAGATTGTGCTCTGATCTGGTTAATTTTATAGGCACACACGTTATTGTGCCAGCCTCATGCCAGGGACAAAAATGAGTGTCTGGGCATATAGAGAAGGCAGGATCACTTCTTTTGGCAGTGAGGCCAGTCCATGTCATGTTGAAGAGGGTCTACACTGTTAGGAGATGATGTGACTATAGAAAGGTCTCTTTATTCTAGATAGGACAGAAGATGTTGTCTGTAGTTACAGCCTCCAGCTTTTGGGGACTTAAAATTGAAAACACGACAAGAGCGTGCCTAAGTGAAAGGCTGTTTCAGAAGTCTCAGTTAAAACAATTGTGCAGCTCCTCACACAGATTTAGAAGAAAACTGCAGGTTTGTCCCTCTTTAAAATATTTTTGTGTTAATTTGCTGAGAAGGTCTAATTCCTATAGGCTTTAGAATGAAAATCTGATATTTAGCACTTAAGTAATCTTTGTCTTTAGCCGGCCTATGAAAATTGCAAACTAGGCCAACCACTTGGCACCAGGCACCACGGCCCAGAATGACCATCTTGCCTTTCTCCTGTACTGTCATTCTCTGCGGCAACCAAAGCATCTTAACATCAAATGTAATTCTATAGACTGAGAATTTTATTCTAAAATGTGGGAATTTTCCTTTTAAATTTTTCCTTAGGTTGCAGAGAATGTTGTTTTATCTTATATGACATCTCCTGCTTGCCGCCTTTTCGTTTTGCTCAAAGAATGCATGATAGAGGAAAAGAAGTTCTTCCCAGCCTGGTTACACAGATTACTTCACAAGAGGCATGAAGCGTCACTCATTTAATTCTTCATTTAACACTGAGGAACTCTTTGTTGTTGAAGGATGAAGTAATAACATAACCCAGCTCTCAGTGATCCCTGGGAGTTAAGGAAACAAAACATGGCACTGAAAATTCACTAAAGATTGATTCTTTACAAAACATGACATCAGTGCTAACCTTGGGAACTGAGAGAAGAATAGCCTTCCCTTTGAAGTAAGGCCTCATCAGCAATAGGGCCGGGAAGTAGAAACCTGAGTAGATTGCTTGTATGTCATTCTTCTAATATGTTTAATATTTTATCCATAGTAGAGATTAGCATCATTTTTCTTGCCTGGCAACTTAATGTGTAGGTGCACAGCCAAATCTGCTATCCCTCCAAATCGACAGAACTTATTCACACATGTGAAAAGACTGTACGAGTCAAAATGAAACCTTGCACATGTTGGTAGTTCATATAAGGTGAGCGTATACGCACCGTTTGACTCAACACACACATCTGAAGATCACAGTCTTGCAGATCTGTTGTGTGTGTGAAACTTTGCTTGAAGTCAGTGAGAAGGGTGCCTTTCAGACCCCAGGTGGGGCCTTGAATATGTCGAGTTGCCAGGACAGCCCACAGGCATGAGGGGAGAGGGCTGGGGTGCCCATCTCCTCCTCTGTGGATGCTGAGCCATCTTTATTCATGCCTCTTTGTTCAAATATCCGAAGAAATAAAGAAAAACAAACAGAAACACCACCACCGCTCCAAGCATGAGATGGAAGTAACAGGAGGAGAAAGGGAAGAAAAAGTAACAGAAATCAGACCTACCTTCCTGGGAACTTAATAGCCGTACAAAAAAATTATCTCTGATGGTGATGCAATAGTAACTAAACCTAGGTTTTTTGAGACACTGCCAGTAATGTTTTCAATTCTTTCTTTTAAAAAATGCCTAGTTAGAAAATCTCTCTTTATGTTCCTTCATCCTGGCTCTCAGCCTATGTTAGTGATGAAACATAAACCACTCTCTGTAGAGAATGAGAAAATTTTGAGTCACAGCTTTTTTGGTGTAACTTGAGGTAACCTTAGTGAAGTAAAAAAAATTGTCTCAGAACATAATTCATTCTGTTCTTTTTCATTTACAAGCACACCACCTTTTCCTTCCAGTTTCATTTTTAAAGGTGACCTAAATATTTGACAGTGTTCTTTTAAGTCACTCTTAATGGGATTTCGTACATACTGTTACTGGCAAGAGACAGCCTCATCAGCATTCCTGAAGTGGAGTTGTGCTTACATCCAGAAATGAGAAGGGTTAAGGAAGTGGGTAGCTCATCACTTCAGACAAAAAAAAAAAAAAGGCAGGCTAAAGGAGGAATCTTAAAGAAGAAAGGCTATCAGGTAGCAGTTGTTAAGAGAAGCTATGGTAATAAGTATTTGCAGTAACTTTTTGCCTTGGGAGTACAGAGGGAGTGTTTGGGAGGACAGATGTCAGTGTTTCTGACATCCCGCCTGATTCTCCTGTTTCGCAGCCTAAAAAGGGCTTGACCATTTGGAGTTCCCTTAGAAATAGTTTGTGCTGTAAACTTTGCATTCAACTAGGATGTAGATGTCAAGGGTCAAAGTTAACTTTTGCTTTCTCTCTCTCTCTCTTTCTCTCACTCACACCCGTTCCCCTCAATTTTATAGGGTGATATCCATGAGGATTTTTGCAGTGTTTGCAGAAAAAGCGGGCAGTTGCTGATGTGTGACACATGTTCACGTGTTTATCACCTGGACTGTCTGGACCCACCTCTGAAAACCATTCCCAAGGGCATGTGGATCTGTCCCAAATGTCAAGACCAGGTATTGTTTGGCAGAGTTACATACAATGCACTGTAAAGATTTTTCAGTGTTAAAGAAAATAACCAGATCACTTGGCTTGCTTAGATCAAGACAGCCTGACACTGAACAAGTCATAATAATGTAATAAGGCTTGTGTGAATTTGATTGAATTACCTCTGTTGGAATGCATGCAAATACAAAACTGTTAAGTCTTGGTCCAAGATTTGGGGTCTTTATTTGTAACCTTTGTGGTTTTACTCTTTTTCTGGGCCAAAGCACGCAAACTTTTGGTAAAGGTTCTCTACGACCCATAGAAATGTTGCTGCTCATCTTAAGCTCATTATTTCTTCAAAAGTTATTACTATATTCTTCTTGTCAAATAAATAAAACATTTGCACCAGCCTACTTCAATAGATAGAGCAAATATAAGCCCCTGTTTGCTTATATAGATTGAACATCAGAGAGGTTGTCTTCAGTGATCTCTAATAATGTCATCCAGCATCAGTATAATGGAGATAGATGAACAGTTTGGTGATTCTTCCTTCCAGACCCCTCTCTGAAAGTACACAATTGAAGTGAACAGATTATATTTTAATATTTTGTTTATAATTGCATTGAGATTACAAGACAAAAAAGTGAACTATGGCATTCGTAACACTTACATGGAACTCCAGAAGTTGCAAAGGATTGCTGATAATCAGCAGCCTGAAGCTGTTAGCGTTCTGTCTAATGTAGCATATTGCTTAGTTGCCCACATGACCTTTGGTTAGCCAGATGGTAATGTAAGAAAACAGCCTGACGAACGATACGCTGTTCAGAAGAATGAAAATGCAAAACTCAAGTGACTTGGTCAGTAGTTACAAGAGAGGAGGGAGTGTTACCACTTCCCTATTCCTGCTCTTGCCTACTCTCACCTTATCCCTCCTCTTCATATTTCTGTGATAGGTTCCTACAAAATTGGGGGGGGAGGAATCTGAGTAATTTCACTGTGAAGTGACTTGAGTCCTCTATCTTCTGAGGCATCCCTCTGATTCACTTACTAAAAATACTTGTCTTTCATCTTAAAATAAAGTTTGTTAGGAAGGAATATGCAGGAAGGATCTGAAAGACATAAATGGCGCTTACCCTCATAAAGAGGGTTTGATAACTCTGTTAAGATGATTCTGATAAGAAGGAGAGAGAGATAGGACAGTTTTGTGGTTTACTAGCCAGGAAGTATGATGTTTGAATGTATGGTGTGAAGACTGTTCTGTGCCATGAAAACTTTTCTCCGAGAACAACTAAGATCAGCAATTTGTCTGAACCATGAAATAATATTTATGTCTCCTGACAAGTTTGGGTTCAGATACATTATCCTTTCATTCCTCTTTTAAGTTGTTCAGTTTCATTAGTAGACTTTATTTGTGGCTATGGAGGGAATTTGAGAAAATGCTGACATTTGTAAGAAACAGGCCTGCTTTGTGGGAGCCACAATACAGTTGTGAATAATCCCCACTGTTAAATCTCAGAACAGGTTTGTGAAGCTTCGTGTTAATAGGGCTGAGGCTAACGATAGCCATAAAAGAAAATCCTTAGTCTTTCCCTCTCTCCGTTTTGCTTTTTTTAGCGAGATAGATTGTGTACCAGCTAAATCTCTAAACACTTTTCTTTCAGATGCTAAAGAAGGAAGAAGCAATCCCATGGCCAGGAACTTTAGCAATTGTTCATTCATATATTGCATATAAAGCAGGTAAGAAAATGGCTAACAACACTTGTGTTTCACTTTTAATAATGGAAGATGTTATTTCATGAATGGAGTAAAATGATACTTCCTTTACAAAAGGAAATTAAAGAGAAAGAACCTTAATCACTAGCGAAATGAAAATAGTAGTCTAAATATTTGTTAAGCCTTCTGTAATGCTTGTGTATGTAGGTGAAATTTTGGGGGTGATTTAGTGCACAAATTGTTCAATTGACTTTAAACACAATTGCCCTCTTTACATGAAGCAGTTTAGACCCTCTATCCACTGTTCTAGCAGAAGCATTTTAAATATTCTGATTAATATTCTGTTTTGCAGCAAAAGAAGAGGAAAAACAGAAACTACTTAAATGGAGTTCAGATTTAAAACAGGAAAGAGAACAACTAGAGCAGAAGGTCAAACAGCTCAGTAATTCTATAACAGTGAGTATTGCCCTTCCAAATAACTCTGCACCTGTGTTCTGGTGCCAGAATGCAGAGAGAAAACTATAGAGTGACTCCATGTGCTAGACCTGCCTTTCACTGGATTTACTGAGAATCAAGTGAGCACTTTCCTTCACTTTTTAGGACTTTGGGGAGCAGGAATTAAATACAGGCAACATGTACTTACTTATACATGATCCATGCTGACCATATATTGTAGACGTACAGCGACCTACAATATCAGCAAGTGACAAACATGATCCAGAGCATTATTGTCTGTGGGCAGTAGCTTAAGTCAAATTCTCCAGTGGCTCACTTAAATAAGAATGGTTGGGCCTCTGTGTGGAATGAGAGTTACAGTCTTGGTGCGCTTTCCAGACCTTTCTAATACAAAAGTGACCATTTACTCATGACTGACTCTCAGGCTCTTGACCTGTTGCCTTGGCAGTCAGCAGCTGGACACTGTGCATGCCTCTGCATAATATTAGTTAGACAGCGTCATACTTTGAACCAGAAGCTGTAGTTTCCCCCTTAGTTTATCTCAGTAATTGGAGCATACATTTCACTTCACTCTCTCTTCTCGCCTTAATTGGCAAATAAGGCTCTTGGGTTGCCGGTGTAACGTTTGAGCCCCTCACTTAGTGTAGCCCTAGTGAGTATCACAGAGTGAAAAATACTGAAATCTGTTACATAGCAGCACCTGTAAGGCTGGATACGTAAGTACAGACTTCCTTTTTAAATACAGATGCACTTCCGGTCTGCCTCTCTTTACTTACTAGAACAAAAGGAAGTGTCCCATGTTTATAGACCTCTAAATGCTGACAATACAAATAAAATGATTGTGAACAAACAAGTGGTGAGAGGTGTTGGTTAGCAGTTCTGGACACTGTCATCTTCTGGTTGGCAGTAGCTGGGTATAACCTGAGTGGCAGTAGAGCACTAACACTGTTTCTCAGTGGTGTACCCAGGCAGATGCAAGCCCTTAACATGAGGGATTGACAGTAGGTAAGGAGAATGGTTTATTTTCTGTGATCAAGTCATTGTTTATACTTTTGTTGGAACTGTCCAAAAAAGATGCATTAGGTCTAAATTTTGTGGTGTTTTTATGCTGCCACGAGCTGCATGTGAAAGCAGTAAAGCTGAAACCAACAGTGTCTGGAGAACAGCATGAGTAAAAGGTTTAAAAAATGTGGGGAGGTTGCCATCTTCATGTAAGATCCTGAATGTTGCAGACATAGCTACCGTTTCCTCCTTTGGGAGTTTCAAATACAGATGTAAGCAGTTTCTCACCCTTGAAACATCATTTGTGCGCTTTTTTTAAAGTTGTCTTACCCTGACTCATAACTGATGAGCTAGCTAGGTTAGTACCTCTTCTAAGAGAAAGAAGTGGCCACAAAATAAGATTTTCAAGTGAAGAAGGGCTTGGTTTTCTTTTCAAGTGCCCCTTTATTGAGAGGAGGAAGTGATGTTCCTGCTAAAATGTGTGTGAAAGCAAAGGCTGTATCCCATTAGCAGCATGCACACACACTGTCAGCAGTCAGCTGCAATAGGATGCCTGAGTTTGCAGATCTGAGCTAAAGAAATTTTAGCAATGCAATACTAATGGAAAAAAAATAATAAGAACATATACTTGGAAGTTTCCCTTTAAAAGGAACACAAGAGGATGGAGCTGTCTGTGTTCATTTGCAAAACACCTTGGGATGAAAGGGGGCCAAACCAGGTGACAGCTACGTACTGGCAGTTTAATTCCTCACCCTGTAAATACAAATTCTGCTGTGAACACAGCCCTGAGACTCCTCTTCTAGGCTGGGAAAGTGAAATTGTAGCTGCAGTTTTTTCTGCGCACATACATTGAGATCTGTGAACATCATACGCCTTCTCTTACCTTCTTTCGTTCATAAGCTTGAACTTATTACTGCTTTTCTGTTTTGCTGCAGAAATGCATGGAAATGAAGAATACCATCCTCGCAAAACAGAAGGAGATGCACAGCTCCTTGGAGAAGGTAAAACAGCTGATCCGCCTCATCCAAGGAATCGACCTTTCAAAACCCATAAACTCTGAGGTCAATTCAGTAGCCATCTCCAACAGCATGGACTCCACTAACAATACTAATGCTGCCACCTCCACCTTAGCCCCCTCCCCTTCCCAGAGCTGCATGGTGAACTGTAACAAGGGCGATGAGACTAAATAACACCGTGAAGTTAAGAAGGGGCAAGGGAGGTGGCAGCAGGGAGGAAGAGCAAAATAATGAAACTCTAGAAAAGCAAAACCGGATTTCTTCTGGAAAGTGCAGAATTCTTTAGTTCTTTGGTTCCAGGGAGAGCATGAAGATGCTTGTGCCAGGCGGCACCGGAGTTTGCCAATTGATCCTTCTTATTCTGTGTGTACATGCGAAGTTTGGATCACGTTACATGAATAGTGCCAGCTGGGGGTTCTTTGCCAGCACCATGCCAAGTGAAATAATATATTTACTCTCTCTATATTCTACACCAGTGTGTGCCTGCAGCAGCCTCCACAGCCACTATAGGTTTGTTTTATTTTTGTTTGGGGTGAGGAGCAGGGATGAGGGAGGAGAGCAGGTTTCAAATCCTTATTTGCAGAACAGTTTGTTTAGCTAGGGGAAAACAAAAACAAGTCCAAAGAGCCTGTGGGCTTTTCCTGTTTCTAAACTCTCAGTACTATTAAACCAAAAAAAACCCAGAAATATAAATTATCAAATCCCAGTGCCCAGAAGGGACAACTCTATCAAATAAGCAGTATTTACTATCGTTTAGACAGGAGATGTACAAAAGGAAAGGAGATGGACTTTTCACTGAGTAACCAGCACACGTACAGGCTGAGGATCTACTGTCCCAACAACTTTGGGTTAATCCTGTTTCTTCACACTAAACAACAGACACACTTTGCAGAATTGGTTTGGGTCCTCACACTCATCCAGAAAGCCTATGTTGGAAATGGGAAGATAGAGGGCCAGAATCCAGGGTCAGCTTGAAGCATTGGACGAAGGTGTCCCAAGAGAAAATGTGCGTCGATTACTTGAAAATGAGATTCCAACCCTTTTCTATATTTATAAACAACAAAGGTATCCTGAACAAAGTAGCACATGACCCAGATGTGTGAACTGAACAGAGAAATGTCCTTTTCTTTCACTTCCTTTCTCTTCTTTTGGTAACAAGAACTAAATAAAAAATAGAAAAGCTGTTTTTCAGGCTGACAGTCTAATTAAAGAGGTAGATGGGACCTTGCATGGTATAGATTAGAAGTAATAGTGTCAGTGAGATACAGTGAGTCTTTGTGAGTCCTTGTGTCATCGTTTTGGGCACTGTTTTTTTATGCAAGGGCAAAATCTTTGTATCTGGGGGAAAAAAAAAAAACTTTTTTAAATTAAAAAGGAAAATAAAAGATATTGAGGTCTTCCTAGTGTTACTTAAAATAAGATCAAGATAAGAAACATTGTAAAAAAAAAAAAAATATTACAAAAGTGCTATTTGTTTCCTAAACAAGTGATTTCTATTAAAAAGGTGTCAGAACTGGAGAAAATGCTGTGTACTTAGAATTTTTTAACACAGACTTTGCTTATTTATGATGACATTCTGCTGTGTTTGTGTTTTAAAATCCAGTGGGACAGTTTCCATAGATTATACCATACATGCTACTGGCTAAGCTCTAAAGAGAATCAAATCCTACAGTGCTGGATCTCAGCCTACCTGGAGGATCTGCCAGGCTTGTCTCTGCTGTTACCGTATCTCCCCTATTCTTTCATGTGTTTGTAACCCAGAGAAAAGCAATTGGCAGCATGCTTGTTTAAGGCTGTTACAGTTTTGTAATATGGACTGATTAGAGATTGAGAATGACAGTGAGTTGGCTGGACTGAAATCGCCTTCTGTTATATCCTCTTGTTTAAGAAGTTAATCTCTTATGTATAATCTTTTCACTCTCAATAGCAAAGCTTGCCATGCGCTTCCTATTATTGTGGGGTCTGTCTCAGTTTAGAGTGCTGATTCTGGTAACTTAGGGTTGTGTCCCAGAGCTGCCTGGTTTCACTACTGCATATAAACATTTGGGCAAACTCCGCTTCCACTGGAAGTACTGGGAAAACTCCCTTTACTTCCAGTGGGAGCAGAGTTGAGCCACTACACACACGATGTGAGGCAGGGTTCCTGGTGGCTGCTCCTGAAAGCATGTGCTGGGTGGTGAGGCAGACCTGGTTCGTTGTTTCTAGTGGAAAATAGAAAAGCTTTGGATTTCAAGGATGCATTTCTGAGCAAGAAGTGAATACTCCAGACACTGCGTAGCCTGAGAGAGTCTCTTTGCTGCCACAGCCAAGTATGCTTCTGCGGGATTCTTGGAGCTGTTTTCTTCCTTCTCCTTTACATTGCCCTTCTGCCCTTTAAGGACTTTTATTCCTTCTGTAGGGGCATGCACTGTTTTCAGCTCTGAGCTCAGAACTGATATCCCGAGTCCTCACATTTGTCTGTAGTTGGGAAAATGACTCTTACGTAGACTTCTCAGCTGAACCTGTGATAACCTCGACTCTGTCTTTTGATGTTTGAGTTCTGCTCTGGAGCTAGCAGAGCTGGAAGGATAAGTTAGCACAAGTGGCAGGGAGGCAGCTGGGCAGATGACATCAAAACTGATCAAACTAAAAATGTCATTGCATCCACCCAGTTGCCTGTGGCAGTCATTACCATAGGGCAGCACTGTGCCAGCAACCCATAGCATTTAAACAAAGGACAATGTATTTCAAGGGTGAACATGAGCCTTCTTTCTTAGAATATGAGCCAGCAGCTAACAGCCAGATACTCAGGAGAAACTACCTTTTTGGCCAGGTTGTTCTCTAGTTGGCCACTTGGGTAATTCTTGACATCATCTTCTGAAGCATCAAGTACGTTGCTGGTAAGAGACACTCTCTAGGGATAGGTGTGCTGAGTCTTCACGGTTCTCATGCTCTTATTTCTGGTGTTATCTTCTGAGCGCTCTTGGAAGCACTGCACTATTTGGGGGTAGCAACCTATGCCTGAAGACTTGATAGTCCTTCTGTTTTCTTTACCCATTCAGGAGGGGCTGGAAGTGAAATTCACTGGTAGCCATATTCAAATTTGAGCGTAGTTAACCAGCCAGGAGGTGTTAAAATGGCTACAGCTGCTTTTCTGAGGCACCTGCTTGTCTCTAGAATCCGAGAAGATAAGTGTAGACTTTTATGTCCCTTTTGCTACAGCATTTGTGTTCCAGACTGTAAAAGGATGCCTTTAGTTAATCATTACCTGGCAGAGAAATGGTCTCGACTTAGACTTTTTGATGCTGCTAGGTAGGTTTCTCTCTCTGTCTCTGATCCTGTTTGGATGCTTTCCCTCCTGGCTCTGCAGCAGTATCAGTCAATAGGCAAGGAATATTCCCAGGGCTGCAGTGACACTGGCAATGGTGCCTGCTACATAGACAAGTAAATTGGGGTTATCTCTGCCCAATTAGCAGATGGGCAGATTAACAATGGGGTGGAAGGGGAATTGGCATTTGCTAAATACAGAGGAAAATGGCTTTTTTTCTAGCTGCTGTAAGAGGTTTCAGTCAAGGGAGGAATTTAAACTCTGACTGCTTAAAGCTCAAGCTTGTCTTCTGGGTTTGGATTGGTTGGGGTTTTTTTAGAGTGAGTTTGTACTAAAACTTCTGCTCTTTGGGGAGCTGTCACAATGACTGGTGTTTTGTATTTCCAAACCACCATCAAGATATTAACTAATTCTTATGTCATTGCTTGTCATTGGTGGGAAATAAGTGGCTTTTAAATCTCTTATAAAGGAGGAGATGAGACCACAGAGGAAGCTCATATCAGAGACAGTTCTGGCTCTCAGCCCAGTGCTAAGGGCTTTAAGAAGTCACCCTGCTTCTTTGCTCAGAAATACAGTAAGCTTTGCAGAAGTGGGTTTTTCCCTTTTCCTTGCAATCTGTTCTTTAAACAGCTGGGAAGGTGTGTTGTGGTCAGAGTGGGAAAGTGAGCGTGTGACCTGGATAGAAGAATTAGTATTATCAGTAGTATTCTCATTATCTTTGTTTAGAGCCAGTAGCGGTTTTAGTGCTGCACGGAGCGCGGTAAAGGCAATACTTTTAGGGATGATTGGCAGGTAGGGTGAGTAGCATGGATTCTTCAAGGACATGATTAGCCAGGAGTTAGTGTTGGTAGGATGAACTAATGGTTTGCATGAGCAAAACAAGGACTTTGTTCTTTATTGCAAGCAAGTTTCTGTCGGTGGGGATATGAATTAAAAGCTGCTAACCTAGGAATTAAAGAGGTGATAATCTTATGGGCAGATCTGTTGGTTTTGTTGTTGGTAGGAAAAACAATATTGTATTTTATCCTTCCTAGCTGACCAGGCTTAAGAAAGCAAATCTGTATTCCAGCTGTCTAGAAATGTGAACCCTAATTCTGGCCTCCTTGGCTTCAAATCATCATCTTGCCTGTACTGTTGCAGAGACAGCCCTGAAAAGCAGCATGATCAGCATTCAGGAGGACTCAGAGTGAAATCTCCCTCTTAGCCCCACCAAGCTGTGGCAGCCCACAATACAGGGAGTAAACTGAAATTTCCTTCCCATGTGGATACAATGGAAAATATTTGTGAATTTGCAGTGCACATGTTTCTCTTTCTTTTTTTTTTTCCCCAGCTGGGTTGCACCCTGCCCTCTTTGCTTCTGGAGCACTGATGTTGAATACATGTTTTTTTAATGAAACATGTTTTTAAAATATCATATTCAGATGTCAAACCAAAATCCACTCTTTTACTGAGGACCTCTCTCAGTGAGCTGCTCAGATAACCACTGAAGTACCGATATTAGACTTCCTTGTGGACCATGCCCCTTTGGCCAGAATCTGTTGTGTCTTTTCAGAACTGTTTTGACCCTTCTTCACCTCCATTTGTCCCCCCTTGGGATTCTGAAGATCCAGGGCAAATTCAACCTTGCTGGATTACTGCAGTGAGTTTTCTGACAAGTATGTAGAAGAGTCAGGAACCTGGAGAAAGAGGAAGATGTTTTGTTGTGCAGCTAATTTGTTTGGTGCTTAGGCTTGCCTGGCCAACAAACTACCTCAGCAAAGGCCGTTCCCAAGCACTATGTGGATTCTGTAGTTTCTGGCATTCAGAAGGGAAAAGCTCTCCGAAGAGCCCTTCCAACAGCCAGCTAGGTGAGCCTCGCAGTGACACTTGGATCCTTGTTTTCAGTGGTCAGGCCTGGACCAGGGCATGCCCTAAAAGTCAGGTGGGATCAGGAGAACACAAGAGCTGCAGACATCTTGTCTCCAGGTTATTGCCGTTCTGGTCAGATCCTTCTTTAAGCCTCGGTCCTGTTTGTAACACCTACAGAATGGAATGTAATACTTGAAAAATATGACTCTATCCTTTACCTTAAGCTCCATTTTCCCCATGTTTATCTGGGACAAGAACTTTCTGCATCGTTGTGTCTTATATAGGCTGAGCACATAGTTGAAACTTGCCAATAAAGAAAATTATTTATACCATGCACTGGTAAGCTTGGTAATTATAGACCCATGAAAAGACAAACCTCTCCTAGAGGTTAATTTAAGATGTGGGCTTGTTTCAGAAAACCAAGACCTTACCTGTATGAGGGTCTGTCTGTATCCCCTGTCAGTATTACTAAACTACGCAAGTAGTGAACAGAAAACAGGCTTGCCAAGAGCATCGGTGCTGTGAAGATCCTTGTGCTGTGCCAGTCCCTGTACATGCAAGGTGTGTATCGCATGAGAAGAGCCAGGCCAGGGCTTCTCATCTCCCCAGGGCAGAGGTGGGTGCTTCAGGGACAAAGGAAAGGACAGAAGCCTCTTTTGAATAGCAAGGGTGGTGAGAAGGGGTACAGGGCTGGAGACAGGGGAAAGGAAGAGAGGAAGCAGGAGGAGCAAAGGAAATGAAGATTATGTAGGGTAAAGCAGAAGTGGAAAGAGACAAGAAGGAGGGAAAGTGAGGGTAGGAAAAATCCAGGAGATAGGGCTCCATTGTGAGGAGATGGGTGTTCCTGCAGTTACAGGGTTTGAAAGTTCAGTGGAAGGACTAGAACAAAAAGGCTCGTTATCTTGCCTCAATTTCTGACTTGAGGTGATCTGTATTCCAAAAGGACCAAGTGTGGTGGGAGGAAAGTGCTACTCAGCTGCAGATGGGGAAGGAAGCAGGCACTAGCTCCACTTCTGCTGCTGAGTGATCCCATCCTGATGAGAGCCTTATTTGACTTCTATGCCCCAACGTGGGATAAGGCAGATCAAACAGACCTTGGGACAGCCAGAGCCTGCTCTAATCTGGTCCATATTAATTAAAAATTTTCTTGGCTAGAAATATTCCCAAGACTAGCTAAAGGTTCAACTCTGCTGGTGTGTTGCACCTTCCTAATTTGTGTGTCACAATCGGCCTAGTTGAAACCAGCGTCAACTTCCAGACATGCTGGGTCCTGAATGGGTGGAGATGATGCCGGGCAGGACCTGTGACTGAGGTACTTCTCGGCCATCTCTTGGAATATCTGTGCAAGATTTCTGCTCTCTGGGCTGT